GTACGGTCTTGGCCAGCTGGACCCCACAGTTCTACCTGGGATCAGACCGGCTGGCTGTGGCCAGGGSCTGGCAGAAGGGCTGGAAACAGGAGCCATGGGGCAAAGAGTATCCCACCCATATGCCCACCACAACCATCCCTGGGTGCCCTGGGAGCAGCCATCCCCTCAAGGAGGCATCCCTATGCCCTGGATCCCTTGCTGCCTCTTTTGGGGCCCTGGAACAGCGTTTGGGCATTTCCTCCTGGCCTGCGCCACCCCTAGAGGATGCTCTGCTGGGAGAGTGAGCCCTGAGAGCTGTTTTCCCCATTCCAGACAAAAGCAGAGCCGACGGACACATCCAAACCCGCAGCGAAAGTGCCACAGCAGCCAGGGAGAGCTCCAGCGGCGCAGCCCCTGGGAGCAGCAGGTCAGTGGGCCCCAGTGGCACAGTGCCATCTGTCCCCTCTCATGCCAGCTGCCTGGCACCCCCAGCTGGGCCTGTCCCCTGCTAATGGTGGTTTTGTTTGTCCCCCAGCAGACAGCAAGGCCGGTCCAAGGGCGGCCGGGCCGCGTGGTCCCGCCGGCATGGCCACAGGGCAGCCTGGTGGGGAAGGAGAGAGTGTCTTCTCCAAAATCCTGCCAGGGGGGGCAGCAGAACAAGCAGGCAAACTGACTGAAGGTGAGGGCTGCTCCTGGGATGGGGATGGGGCGGTGATGCTCTTCTGTGCCAAATGGGGTCAGGCACTCTGGGGATGGTTGTGGTGCAGTGCTCCCACAGTTTGGGGCCTGGGGAGGGGGGGATTAGGGGAGCCACACTGACACCTCTCCTGGCTTCCCCACAGCGGTGTCAGCTTTCGGCAAGAAGTTCACTTCATTCTGGTGAGAGAACGGCACAAGGTGAGTGCAGATGGCACTGGGCACTGCGCCGTGGGCTCTCCCTGCCCTGGCTGTGCCTGACACCCTCCTGCTCCCTCCTGCTGCAGGAGTTTGGGAAGCGAGTGGAGATTGAGTCGTTGCAGTGGAAAAACCTATGAAGAAGCCAATGAATTCAGCACGCAGCGCCAGACTCTGAGTATAACGGTGAGCGCCCATGTAGAGGGCTGGAGAAGTTGGCTGCCCTTAAGGATGAATCCTCACACTGAGGACCCCTCCACCATGCCATCCCTGGGGCTCCTGTGGCACTGCTGTTGCCCTAGCACATACTGAGCTCTGCCCTGCCACAGTCCCAGTCACCACTGTGGGAAGGACCTGGTGCATCCCCGTCCCT